TCTGCCTTTACCACTCCTTTTGGTCTTTACAGATACGAACGCCTTCCCTTTGGACTATGTAATGCCCCGGCCACCTTTCAGCGAGCTGTCAACCGCGTCATCCAGGGCTTGGATAACACCTACGCCTACTTGGATGATATCGTTGTGGCAACCAACACCTGGAGCGAACATTTGCTCCAGCTGCAACGATTGTTTGCCAACCTCCTGTCGGCCGGCCTCACCTTCAACTTGGGCAATTCCACCTTTGCCAAAGGTAAAGTGCGTTATCTTGGTCATGAGATAGGGAGTGGCAGAATAGCTCCGTTAAACATACATACCCTAGCCATCCAGCATTACCCACAGCCTACCACCAGGAAGCAGCTCCTGCGCTTCCTTGGTCTTGCCTCCTACTACCGTAGGTTTGTGAGGAACTTTAGTGCGGTGGCGACACCATTGATCACTTTAACCAGCCCCAAGCAACGGTATCATTGGACCATTCAGCAAACCATTGCTTTTGAACAACTTAAATTCCTGCTCTGTTCTAATCCTATTCTCGCCTCGCCAAATATCTCGAAGCCTTTCATCCTTGTTGTCGACGCCAGTGGTACCGGCATCGGGGGTGTTCTCATGCAACAACGAGGCGAGAAGATTCTGCCTGTTAGCTACTACAGCTACAAATTAAAACCACACCAGAGGAACTACAGCACGATCGAAAAGGAGCTTCTATCCATCGTCCTAAACTTGCAGCACTTCGAACCGTACCTGCAAGGTACTCGGTCTACCACCATCTACTCGGACCACAATCCCCTACGCTTCCTGCAGCAAGCCCAATTCAACAATCAACGGCTTCTACGATGGGCTTTATATCTGCAGAATTTCAACCTGGAGATCTTCTACATCAAGGGTTCTGACAACATCATAGCAGACGCCCTCTTCAGAGTCTATGAGGTAGAGGCTGCTCCACCTACCACTCTACCTCCTGAAGACGTAACTTCACCCGGAACCGCAGGCTGCGGGGGAGAGTTGTGACGAAAATCTCTTTCAAGAGAGATTGAGCCTGCTCTTCCCTACTTAAAGTTACGTCAAGTTAACAAGTATAAGATGCTACATTCAAGATGCGTCACCGGTAGCACAAAATGTTTTGACCAGGAGGCAAAACGTACCTAAGAACCCCCCAACTCCACACACCCTCCACGCCGGCTCGTCATCAACCAGCAAACTACTTATCCCAGCCTGCCTGCTCCTGATTGGTGACTCGCCGACCGCGCACCTGCACACTGCACCTCAGCGCCATCTACCTGAGTCGACGTCTGAGCCTGAACCAGTCATCAACTTCAGAATATTCTTTGTGCTCTTAGAGTTGACATCTCTCTCTGGCATACAAAGCTCTCTGGCTTTCGTATACTAAGGGAGGTCTCAGCTAAAGCCAATATTCTCAGCACTATTTCAACATTATATTATTTATTCTATAGTGTTTTTGCATTTATCTTTGTCATTTAATTGCACCAGTCATTTACCCGAGATTTGTCTTTATTTTCATTTATGTTTAAAGTAAATATATTAAAGTTTCATTGTTCATACTTTGTATTTTACGTGTTCCTCCCTCTCACTTACCACAGACAACAGGCAAGCAGTCTATTTTTTTTTTGTAAGTATGACCAGGCATTGACACCTGCCATTGGAGGACTGCCGAACATCTATACTCCAACACTTTCCCGTCACAATATATATATATATATATATATATATATATATATATATATATATATATATATATATATATATATATATATATATATATATATATTATATATATCAGTCTTTAAAAGGTATTTTATAAATGACACAATTATCACTACGAGAGCTGTTCCTATCTAATAGCTTACCAACAGTATTTTCGTAGCTAAACAATACATGTATATTAAAAAGTTTCAAGGCCTTGACAATATTCTCAAACCCAGACAAATATGGTAAACATAAGACATTCTTTGGGCGAATTCTTTCACTGTATATATTATTATAATATGTGCGACGTGCTTTGCTACGACAAAGCATATGTCGACCGTGCTCTCAGCCACAGCTCAGAATGGAAGCAAGTCGACGAAGAACTCTGTACGGTAAGGCAGGTCCTAGTCAACAACGGCTTCTCCAATGGTTTCGTCGAAGACATCATAAGAAGGAAAGTGAAACGCCATGCAACCTCTGAAGAGACAACCAGCACAACACCTATACCCCTATAAGACTATTTTACAGGAACTTCTTTTCCACAGCTCATAAAACGGAGGAATGGGTCCTGAAAGATATTGTTAATAGAAACGTTATCCCTACAGACAAAAATCAGAGGATACAACTGACGATTTACTATAAAACCAGAAAAACGGCCAGCCTACTCATGAGAAACTCTCCAGACACAAAACAGAACGCTTTAAAAGAGACCAACGTCGTCTATGCCTTCAAATGCCCTCTTGGGGACTGTAAGCTCCAAAAAAACCAGTATATAGGCAAGACAACAACATCTCTTTCTAGGCGTTTAACGATGCATACGCAACAGGGCTCCATTAAGGAACATATAATCTCTTCCCACAACCAGACCATCACCAGAGAAATCTTAACAAATAACACGGAAATCATCGATAGATACAGCGATAGCAGGCGACTTGACATCTGTGAGGCACTACACATCAAGAAGTCAACACCAGCAATCAACAGCCAATTAACGCACAACTATATTCTACCAACTTTAAGACTCCGCGCCAATATAGAAGCATCAAGAAATATGGGCCAATAGGCCCTTTGCAGTTACTTCCATTCTTCCTTTTAATTTACCCAATTTATACCCATTGTTTCGTGTTCTGGCTTGTGTTGAAAGTTTTGTTCACCTCATCCAAAACTGTTGTAACATATCACCTCACCCAAATGCAGGTATATAAAATGAATGCCGTTTAAATTATAGCATAGTAGAACTCTGTTTAGTGCTTGCATTTTATAGTTGTGTGTGTGTAAACTAAAGTCTTTGAAAATATAATAAGTTATTACGAAACGCGTTCAAGTGTCACGTCAGACTAGAAATAAAAATTAATTTTGGAGAATTGATTTTTCAATTACCATCGACAGTGAAAAGAAACATAAGAAATAATGAGAAAATTCATGTTAGAATTATTAATCTTACTTTTTCGGTCATATTTAATAATATATGTTACAAGAAAGACTGCTACCAAAATATACTAATATATATATATATATATATATATGTCGTACCTAGTAGCTAGAACGCACTTCTCTGCCTACTATGCAAGGCCCGATTTGCCTAATAAGCCAGGTTTTCATGAGTTAATTGTTTTTCGACTACCTAACCTACCTAACCTAACTTAACCTAATTTTTCGGCTACCTAACGTAACCTAACCTATTAAGATAGGTTAGGTTAGGTTAGGTTCGGTTGGTTAGGTTCGGTCATATATCTACGGTAATTTTAACTGCAATAAAAAAATATTGACCTCATGCATAATGAAATGGGTAGCTTTATCGTTTCATAAGAAAAAAATTAGAGAAAATATATTAATTCGGGAAAACTTGGCTTATTAGGCAAATCGGGCCTTGCATAGCAGGCCGAGAACGGCGTTCTGGCTTCTAGGTACAACATATATATATATATATATATATATATATATGTCGTACCTAATAGCCAGAACGCACTTCTCAGCCTACTATTCAAGGCCTGATTTGCCTAATAAGCCAAGTTTTCATGAATTAATGTTTTTTCGTCTACCTAACCTACCTAACCTAACCTAACCTAGCTTTTTTTGGCTACCTAACCTAACCTTACCTATAAATATAGGTTAGGTTAGGTTAGGTAGGGTTGGTTAGGTTCGGTCATATATCTACGTTAATTTTAACTCCAATAAAAAAAAATTGACCTCATATATAGAGAAAAGGGTTGGTTTATCATTTCATAAGAAAAAAATTATAATAAATATATTAATTCAGGAAAACTTGGCTTATTAGGCAAATCGGGCCTTGCATAGTAGGCTGAGAAGTGAGTTCTGGCTACTAGGTACGACATATATATATATATATATATATATATATATATATATATATGTCGTACCTAGTAGCCAGAACGCACTTCTTGGCCTACTCTGCAAGGCCCGATTTGCCTAATATGCTAAGTTTTCCTTAATTAATATATTTTCTTAAATTTTTTTCTTATGAAATGATAAAGCTACTCATTTCATTATGTATGAGGTCAATTTTTTATTATTGGAGTTAAAATTAACGTAGATATATGACCGAACCTAACCAACCCTACCTAACCTAACCTAACCTAACCTATCTTTATAGGTTAGGTTAGGTTAGGTTAGGTTAGGTAGGTTAGGTTGTCGAAAAACAATTATTTCATGAAAACTTGGCTTATTAGGCAAATCGGGCCTTGCATAGTAGGCTGAGAAGTGCGTTCTGGCTACTAGGTACGACATATATATATATATATGACATCTGTGTCATATTATATATATATATATATATATATATATATATATATATATATATATATATATATATATATATATATATGTGTCATATATATGTGTCTGTGTCATATATATGTGTCTGTGTCATATATATGTGTTTTTCAAGAGATCCATAACCTTTAATCACCTTTTTGCATTATTATTTTCGTATCAACCCATGTATATCTTGTAACCATCAAATGCATAATAAAGCACAAAAAATAAAAAAGGAAGGGGGTGGTAGGAGAAAAGCACACAGAAACTGTATTGGAGGGGATCTAAACATTCCCTCTAATGCGTTATGTGTGGTTTCCTCCGAGGCTATGGGTCCCCCTTCTTCCAGTTAGAGGTGGTACTCCCTTCCTATATTATATATATATATATATATATATATGTGTGTGTGTGTGTGTGTGTGTGTGTGTGTGTGTGTGTGTGTGTGTGTGTGTGTGTGTGTGTGTGTGTGTGTGTGTGTGTGTGTGTGTGTGTACGTATATATCATTCTCTCTCTCCCTTACTTGAACACTGGAGCTTGCAGTAATTGGTCGTTCTAATAGCGCCTTGACACCAGTACTTGTTGTTGATCTGGAAGATGCCAAAGTCCGTACTTTTGTCTTTGTTCTTGTTAGTAGCGGACGTGTTGAAGCTAGACTCATACTCCGCGAGACACACAACTGTTGTTGTTGGCACCGTGGTAGAGTATGAGCCAATGGTAGAGTAATTGAGGCGAATTAATGAAATCAGTTAATTAATTATATATGTTTAATTTTTACTTCTAACATCTACGGGAAATAGTTCTTTGCATTCTGAAGTCAATCCAACCCTCGATTACATATATTTATGACCACTACATCCCCTATTTTTCTGACGGTGTTCAATAACATATTTCATTAGAAAAATAATAAATAATGGTGGACATACAGTTCTTGACAAGGGTGCGGGACATGTGGTATGTGTTGGTCAGCACTCTGGCCAATTCACACTTGGTAAACACCTTTCCTGAGGACGTCCCCACCAGGGCGGCCACCACCGCCACCACCGTCAACCACGAGCATATCCTGGGGAAGAGTGAGACAGACGCACAAGTCACTAATTATCAACAGGAGGCACTCAAAATGGCCTCAGTGCCTGTGGCAAATGTTCACGGTGCCACTGGTCACTGTGGACGAGTGCCTCTGGTAACTGTGCGTCTGGTTGCAGGCTTACATCAAGGAAGATGCGTCTGCACGCCACAAGAGGCGTTGCGAGGAACAGAGCAGAGAGCAGCGTTCATTAAGGTTACATGAAAAAGGCAGAAGGAGAAAGATATCACCAAACAGTTAGATCATCGGAGCTCGATCCCCGATTGTCCAAGTGTTTGGTGACCGTTCCTTCCCTTCACCCGTTATTAAAGACACTCTAACAGCTAACTGATCAATAAATAAAAATATACTTTTGTCCTGAACATAGTCCAGGATTAAAGTATACTCTCAGTGTACACACAGCGAGAAGTGAAGCGCCAAGCCATTACGACTATATAGCACTTGGAAGGGCACAGAACACTGATTTGAGATGGGACGGAGAAAAGGAATGGTGCCCAAAAACTTGGACGGTCAGGGATTGAACGCCGACCTGCATGAAACTAGACCATCGCTCTATCTTCCAGCCAAAGTGGTTGGGAGCGAGAAGTGGAAACAACAGATTGCTGTGTATCCTATCTAGGCTTGGACACTCACCTCATCTCTGACACGTGGAAGCAGAGCACGCGTGAACTCAACTGTGTCTCAGGCGCAAGTGAGCTTTAACCCGCTTCTGGTCGCCTTATATACCTTCCATCGGCAAGGCCTTGCAAACAGGGTTGCCACTTACCACATACGAAAATTAATTCCAGTTTTCAATTGTAAATTAAAAATGCAAAAATAGGGTTAATTTACAACTTTTGTTTACTCTACAAGTTTCATGAAAAGTAACAATGGAAAGTATTGCTGAAATTTGGCTCTGATGTGAAAATCTAGAGCCCATCATAAACAAATGAGAGGCTGTAGATCTGCACATCAGAGATGTGTGGATTCCAATAAAAATATTTACTATGATAAAGGGAATTTATTTATCATAGAGATTAGGCCTCATAGTTCAAGACGTTATATATTTTCTTATCGAAAGTTGAGGGTTCAGGTGGTCAATTATCTCCTGGCCTTCGTCAACCCAACTCAACCCAAGAAACTCATATCAAAGCAGATATAACCTCACCTATCTCTACCTAACTAATACCATCTTTACCTATCTGAAAAATCTACCCAAACAAAACTTAATCTAATCTAACCTTACCTAACCTAATGTAACCTAACCTTATCAAACCTCACCAAACCTAATCTTTCCTAACAAATCCTAACCTAATCTAACGTTACCAAACCTAACCTTACCAAACCTAACCTAACATCACTAAACCTCACTAAATCTCAATAAACCTAACCTCAACAAAACTCTCCAAACATCATCATACCTCACCAAACCTCATCAAATCTAACCTCATCTCACCAAACCTAAACTCACCTCAACAAACCACATCTCATCAAACCTAACCTCACCAAGCCTAGCAAAACCTAATCTAATATAACCGAACCTAACAAAACTTCACCTAACCTAACCTCACCTAACCTAACCTCAACTAACCTTACCTCACCTAACAAAATCTCACCAAACCTAACCTAATCTAACCAAACCAAACCGAACTAAACCTCGCCAAACCTAAAATAACCTAACCAAGCCTAACCGAACCTATTCTAAGCTAAGCTAACCAAGTCTAAACAAAGCTGTAAGAGCCTCGTTGGCACACGAAACAGTATACACTTGGCCGTAGGAAGATCCTATGTAGCACAGTAGGCGTCATTGTCGGCTCACAACCCAATGCTCCCAGGTATCGATTACCACAGCAGAAGAGAGAGACGTTTGGGCACTTTTTTGTAACACTTATTCACCTGTTCACCTGGCAGTAATGTGTAGTCGAGTTACTAAACTGTTAGTGGATGTGTTCAGGATGTGGGCTGCATCCTGAACACAAAGTAAAGAACAAAATAAACAACACAGTAAACAACAACGTAAGGAACAAGAAGTAAGGAACAAGTAGTAAAGAACAGGGAGTAAAGAACAGGAAGTAAGGAACAAGAAGTAAGGAACAAGTAGTAAAGAACAGGGAGTAAAGAACAGGAAGTAAGGAACAAGAAGTAAAGAACAAGAAGTAAGGAACAAGTAGTAAAGAACAGGGAGTAAAGAACAGGAAGTAAGGAACAAGAAGTAAAGAACAAGAAGTAAGGAACAAGAAGTAAAGAACAAGAAGTAAAGAACAGGAAGTAAAGAACAGGAAGTAAAGAACAGGAAGTAAGGAACAAGAAGTAAAGAACAGGAAGTAAGGAACAAGAAGTAAAGAACAGGAAGTAAGGAACAAGAAGTAAAGAACAAGAAGTAAAGAACAGGAAGTAAAGAACAAGAAGTAAAGAACGCAAATGAAAAGAAAAGAACAGGAAGTAAAGAACACAAGGAGCAGAAAGTGTTATCAACAACATACACAAAACCAAGATAAGACTGATTTTATAAATAATTTTAATCATTCAAGCAAAACTTTTCTTATTTTTACTCATCCTGTTTACCCCAGCCAGCGTGAGCCGCTCCTGTAGCTGGAGGCAAGTGTGGCTCCCTACTTGCCCCGCTTGATCCATTTGCTTGTTATGACATGCTATTTGAGGCCGTTCAGATTGTTGTATAGTGATGGTATAATTGGACCATCGGGGATCGAGCCCCGACCCTGTACGAAGTGGCTGGGTTGTGAGGACGGAGTGAATGAGCAGTACTTAATCATCTGACCATTGGGGATCGAGCCCCGACCCAGCAAGAAGCAAGGCTGGGGTGTGAGAATGGAGTGAAGGAGCAGTGCTGAATCACTGGACCATCAGGGATCGAGTCCCGACCCTGCACGAAGCGAGGCTGGGTTGTGAAGATGGAGTGAAGAAGCACCGCTGAATCACTGGGCTATAGGGATCGAACCCCAACCAAGCAAGAAAGAACTCAATTGCCATATTGGCCAGTCCAAGTGGGCTGGCAAAATGTTAATTAGGTCACTCTTCATCACTTGTTTCAGGTGTCTGACTCAAACACCTGTAACATGTTATACCTAGCATTCAGGGCCGAAGTTAACTGTACCTTTGTTCAGGGACAGTGAAATGCTGCTCACATTAATCAAACTTGTGTGGAGGGCAACATGCATCACTCACATCTACCATCTACTCAAGGCTATCTTTTGGGTACAGCAAGGTCTATCAATTAAACAAGGTTATCTGTTACAGCTACGTCTACTATCTACTTAAGGCTATTTCTTGCATATACCTTTGTCTATCATCTACTCAAAGCTATCATATGTTAACATGGTCATCAAAATTTGGTTAATTTGGTCATCAAAGTCAGTATTTTAAACTACAAGATGGTCGAAAGGTGTAGTTTGGGAACTGATTCTCGACTCTGCAAGCATATTTAGGTAAATACACACGTGCACACACACACATATATACATATTTACATATACACATCCACACACACATGCAAAAACACCTAAACCACACACACACACAAACATAGTCTGGAGGCGTGAGAGACAAGTGTGTCAGTAGGGCATCCGCGAATAACATCAATTATCTCGAGACATTGAAGTGTTACGGAGACATGAAACATAGTTTTTTGTCACAGGAGTGTGCACAAACGCAGTGATCAAGTATATAGTGAGCTCCTACAGCGGTAGATCAATTAAGAAAACAAAAATAAGGTTGAGTGGCAAGATCAGTGCCGAACCGTTGGACAGTTTAGCAAGGACCTACGAATTGCCTTGCCGAGTATTATATTGTGAAGAGGAATTATAGCATACATAGTGATCGATCCCCCAAAGTGTGTGCACCGTTTAGGAACTTATTATATGTTGCACATATTGATTGACGATCAGTGAGGAAGATTGGAACGAATAGTATACCAGGAACACGTATTCGTTGTCTTGTTCGGTTGAATATTATACTCAGTAGGCACTTCTGTAGTTTTATTGATTAAGACAGCAAGGTGTATAACTAGCCCTCGAGGTCCACCTACTCTGAGTCTGTCGGGAGAACTGAGCCTGCTGGGAGCACGGCTGGTGACTGTCTGTCTGTCATGACGCCAGAGGCCAACTCGCCTGTGACTGGTTATGTCTCAATGGTCATACAATTTGAGTATAACACCACTCGGACACGCTACCAAGTCGACGTCCCATGTCGACAAGCTCTGGCTAGCTATATAGTTACAATGATACTGAAAGGACCTCGGTGGTATTCAATAATGGCTTACATGTGAAATTTCCATAATGAACATTAAAATAAGATCAGGTGTGCATAATACTAACACCTCGGCATATGCATCAAAAAATTGATCATAATAGGTGAAAATCATGGTAACAATGCTTTAATTAAACCAGAGTATTAAAAACATGTGTATGTCTACTTATCAGATGTGAACAATACAACTCAATGTATTGCCTAAACAAAATTTATTAACATGTGTCAATGGCATATGCTTGAAACAATACAAAATTAAACAATTATTACATTAATGGAACAAAATTCTGACCTAACAACCATAAATGAATTTTAAGATTAGATAATGTGGATTTTTTTGTTTGTTAACCCTTACACTGCTCAGGGGTCCTTGGGACATTTACACCCCTGTGCGCAAGAAAAAAAAAAATTCAAAAATTTTTTTTCGTCTTCTAAACGTGTTAATTTGTGTTTGAATTTGAGGAAGTCGGGCAAAAAGTGGGCGTCGACAGAGCGGTCGTCAGACCCGGTCAGCGTCACCCGCGTTGACAGATGGGAGTTGCCACAAAGATATTATTACCTAATTGTTTCAATGTCTCCGATTGATTTTTTCTTAGTTTTTTTGCAGTAATATTATTCAGTAGTGTGTATTGTAATATATTTATATAATAAAAGTGGTTAATAATCGCTATACTCAAAAGTATGATGTGCATATTAGTGATTCAATTATGTTTATAAAACAATGAACAAATAGTTTTGCTGCTATTACACTCTATACACAGGTTATATATAAGTATTGGCATGTTTTGGTCACCATAACGAACCACTAAGTTGGTATTGAGAGTCGAAAAGCAACGAGGAGTTACCGCCACACACCAGCCAGCCACTCGCTGCCACTCCCTCAACACACGCACTAAACTTTTTCCCCCAACAATACCATTTGTGGTGTTATTACACTATATACAGACGTTATATATAAGTATGTGTATATTTTGTTCACAACTGTACAGCTAAGCTGATATAGTTAGTTCAGGCACTAAGAGTCGTCGCTATACACAGATGGCGGCTGGCGGCTCCCTCACTCATTCAAGGTCACACGCACTAAACTTTCATCCCCAACAATACCATTTGTGGTGTTATTACACTATATACAGACGTTATATATAAGTATGTATATATTTTGTTCACCACAACTGTACAGCTAAGCTGATATAGTTAGTTCAGGCACTAAGAGTCGTCGCTATACACAGATGGCGGCTCCCTCACTCATTCAAGGTCACACGCACTAAACTTTCATCCCCAACAATACCAGTTGTGGTGTTATTACACTATATACAGACGTTATATATAAGTATGTATATATTTTGTTCACCACAACTGTACAGCCAAGCTGATATAGTTAGTTCAGGCACTA